GAATAAATCAGCCAAATTACTATTATCACTCTAGGCATCCTCCCAAAATGAGAACTTCTTCCTGGACCCTACCTTTAGTCTAAAGCCATTTAGTAACCAACCCCTGGCCCTCAACATTCATTTCTCTTAAAGTTAGCAATGAAATAGGTCACCTTAATAATACGTGACATGTCTAATTAATATATATATGACTTATAGTATCCTTTGTACTCTAAATAAATAAATTTGTTGTCTTTCAAGAAAATGTGTTATCAGTTTATAGAAAGCTAGTATATCTTTTTAGTATAATATCTTTTTTTGTATGTGGCATAAGAAACCTGTAACATGGCATGAAAATTCCCTGGCATAGTATCGAAAATTGCTAGTGTTAAGTAAAAAAATTTTACATTAAATATAACTAGAAACATATGTAACTTCTTAAAAATAATATGGAAAAGCAATGTATAAAATATTTTTTTGGCACAATATTATATATGCACAATATAACTTGAATAGTTGACTTAGTATTATATATGATTGGTTCTTTAATTTTATTATGGGGTTTACACATGATGTTGTTTGCATTTAAATACTTGTTTAACACCACATCACATTATGTGTGAGATATTGTATAGAAAACGTTTTACGTGTAGTATCTCTATAACTATAAAAAAAGGTTTTTTTTTAGATGAATCAAATATTTTATTGTGATGAGTACAAATAGTACTCAACTTTTAGTCATTACAAAAGATAACTTATAAAAAAGGTTACTTTACCAAATTAATATCAATTCATTTTAAATTAGATGCTCATCTTATATTTAGATTTCTATGTAAATTTCCGTATGATACGAGAGCATGCTCCGTTCTTATCAAATCAAGCAATTTGAGATCCGTATGCAATATTGAGATTTCAACTAAGAAGGGCATGATAAAAATAAAAATAAAAAAAATCTCACATCAAAACATAATAAGGAACATGTTTCTTAAGCCTATCATGGGCATAAAAATAACAAAGGGGTCATACATCATCGCAATATTATTGGCATCACCATATGGACATGTCTAACAGTGACATTTTCGAATTGATATATGGGTCAATACCCCCATAATTCGGCCGCCAGTAAAGGTGGGAAGACCATTTCATATTTGGATTGGAATCAGGATCCATCATCCTTGGAGATGTACAAAATTGCCAGATGCCAAAACTGATATGAGTAACATGTTCCTTCGTTATTTTGTTTGCGAGGATGATGGCTATGGTGATGCCAATAATATTGGTTAGATCATTGCTTAGGTCATGCCAATAATATTTCAGCCAAGCTATGCTTAGTTCATTGCTTGGGTCATGCCAATAATATCTCGGCCAAGCTATGCTTAGATCATTGCTTCTAGGCTCGATGCATTCAACTTCTTGTTTAAATTTTGGCATCGACATTTCCAATACTCGATCTCGAGTAAAGGAGAAGAAATATCAAAAACCAGTTTAACAAAGCTACGATAGCGCCAACAAATCAGAGATCGATTGCACCAGCTGCAACAACACGCTCATACAGAAGTAGAACAAAAACAAATTCAGAAACAGAGTACTATAAACAGGGCTACTTCAGCAAGATGGCATTCTTATCTCCTGTAAGTTTCATATCCAGATTCCATACCCAATTTTGTCCAAGAAAATTAGAGCAAATTAAAGAAGCATTCACTCGAATCAAAATTATAATACATAACAAATTTATTAATCAGCTTCAAAAGTAAATCCAACACAGACACACTTTGCATAACTGCTAAACCTTCTGAAACTGGCACACTTATTCTAAACATACATCCCCGCACAAGCATAACCACTGAACATATATGCGAGTCATGACAATATTCAGATGTAGTATCTATGCTTGAGTACTGGTGAGGTGGGAATCGATTTCTTTTGAGACTTGGGCGCCCAACTCCATCAGTGTCTCTGGATGTGCAACATCCTCGTTTAGTTTCTCATATTCCAATGTCCAGTGTGCTACACTGCCCTCACCCTTTGGAGTTACATCCATTTTGATTAGGAAGCTCTTGTACTCCTTCATCAGATCCCCTTCTATCACTCTGAAAGTGATCGAGTTGTTCTCTGCATCTATTGCCTCAACTATCTCCTTTGCAATTTTGGCCTCCCCATCTATTCATGCCAAGAAATAACTATCTTAATTACTATTATAGAAAACTCAAAGTTAAAATATGGAGCAAGGGTTCAAACTCAGCCTTACCATGAACATAACTCCAGCAGATGACAGAACCCACCGCACCCCACTCACCTTCGTGCAGTTCAACTCCTTGAATGTTATCAGGGGTGACATTTGAAATATGGTGAGGTCTGCTGCAGAACACCTCATGAAACTTTTCAGCAGAACACTTCATCTCTACATCAGCCTCCAGCTTACCTGTTAGACTCATTTTCGGATCAACCTAAGTCTTTTTTATATAAAACAGAACAGTTTTAACCATAAAGACGCTAAAAATGTGAAGTTGTGTTGGAGGAGAATGCAATGGCTATTGATCCCTTTTATAGAGTTAGGCAGCAATCCACCCAGTTTTTATTTGTCAACAATACGGTATTAGGTGTAGTCTGCCTCCTCATGAAAACAGAAGTTAACATATAGTAATATTCTCAAAATAATAATTGAGATTAAAATTTCTTTTAGTGCATCGGTAAAAAACCAAAAAAAAAAAATAATAATAATTGTTGTTTCTATCACTAATTGTGTTCTATGTATAATATCAATGAGACTTTTCTATAGATTTAATTAGTTTTTAAAACAATCATGTTTCGTGCTGGTATTTAAAAAAAAGGCCCTATCATGTTTCACAACTGTAAGTGGGAAAAGCCCCACCACTGCTTGATTTAACTTCTGTGGGCT